AAAACAGCTGACTCGACTCGCCACCAGTGACTTCTCTTCAACCTCATCGTCCGTGAGGCCAGTCACGAATCCGGCCCAGGCAGCGAGAAGGATGTCCGCAAGCACTGACAACATTCTGGACACTAGACTGTCTCGAACGTCACATGTTCTGATGCCTTGCCCTTGACCCCGTTCTATAGATCTGCAGCTTAAGCCTTACCAGGGTAATTAGTTGAGTTGGGCAGAAATACTGAACCAGCCACGAAGAAGTGACCAAAGTCGTGTGGGGAGATTTGACATTACCATCAAGCTTGCTAAAAACATGGTTCTGCTCCATGTGATCACGCGGATTGTTCAGCGATGAAACGACTATTGTACCTGCTTTGACCACGCCTTGAGCAAAAATGGCTACAGATTTGGGGTTTAGGATCCAGGATCCGCCCCCAAAACCCTAAATGCTCAGGCTTCGGCGTTGAGGATTTGGGGTGGCGAGTTTCAGATAGTTTCAGGGGCTTCATCGACTTATTGTTTGGAGTTTAGGTCTCTGACTTTCTGAAGCCCCGGGCTTCGACAGTGCGCAGGCGGAACTGCTTCGGCAGGGTTTAGATGCTCGGGTTTAAGTCTTACGGCTCAAATTACCATGAGCAGTCTAGGGTTTAGGCTGACAGGGCGCACAGCCACTATGCAACTATGCCCAGCTATGCATGTTACACCACCTCGGGGCTAAGGATCCAACGGTGGGTTGGAAGCATCTCGACATAAAAAACCTACCGGAACGAGAAATCGAAAGGTCGACAGAAAAAGAGCAAACGGCACCCCAAACAAACTGAGGCGGAGTCACGCTGTCTCTGCCTTGTCCGCGTGGTCCAAACACTAAATATACCTGTCAAGCCTTCTGATACCCGCATCCGACATGGCACAGGAGCATGAGGCCTGTCTCGGCCCCGTCCACGCTGTGAAAACACGAAGCTCAGATTAACATCGCGCGAAAGCAGAGCACTCCACCTTCCCTCGACGATCCCCCCAACCTCAACATCCGTAGCTGGAACTCTGTTGCCGCTGCCTGCACCTCAACATCGGACGCGTTGGCCAGCACGTCGGCGTCCTCCAAAAACTGCCAGGTGACATCTGGGGGCTCACCAGTTCAGCAATGTCTAGCATTGTCTTTGCGATTTGATATGCTGTGATCTGCTGTGACGAAGTAGGGGCCGTGTCCTTGCAGCGCAAGTGTGTGCTTGTGTTTCCTGTGTTCTAACTTCTGTCAGGTCGTGCGGTTCCCTTTCTGTACTAATTTTTTGCAACTGAGGTAGCTAAGGACATTCGCCAGATACATGGGCCTTAGCCAGGCAAGCAGGGACGGGAACCCTAAAATCGTGGGCCCGTCGCATGGCCCTCTCAGACAAAGTATGGGAAGATCTGTGATCTGTGTATCCCGACAAAAGTGTCAAGACAGAAGGTCTTCAGCAGCCTCAGGAGCCTTTGTGCCACATAAAGATAACATGGCGTCTTGATGAGAGCAGTACTCGGATGAGCCGCACGGGTTTCATGGTGGCAGTCATGGAAGCGACACGTGTCATCGGAAGCAGTTGCGATACTCGGGCCAAGTATTGCATTGATTGACAAATCCGCATCCATGGTTGGAGCCCCAAATAGAAACACCGGTATCTTAAATGTTTCTACCCTAACTAAACCCCATATAAGCCCAAAACCCAGGCCCTATGCCCTGTAGCCTACGCCGTTAGCCGTAACCGTCCTGGTCTTCCAGAACCTGTCCATCACAGAGTAGTTGGAGGCGGCAAACATCCACCGAGAGCCTGCTTGTGCACAGCAGCCCTTGATTCAGGAATTTGCCTCAAACTACCTAGGGCTTCATATTGTGTGTGTGAGAGAACTTCATACCTTACTAACCGAATTTTGGGTTTCGTTGGCCTGTTCTGCGCTATACTACATACCTCATTGGGCAGCGCAGGAGGCGGTAGTGTTCAAGGTTTGGCAGCAGCTGCAATAGCGGGTTGTGGGGTATATCTTACCATGAATGAGGGTCCATACTGTACTGCCACGAACTATTCAAGCCGCCATGGTACTGCTACTGTCCTTCTCTCTGTCTCACTCCTGCATGCGATGGCGTTAAAGTACAAAAGGTTTACCAAACATTGTCCCAATGTCTACAGTCTAGTTACAGCGGGGCCACCTTCTGCTATCTATACATCTGCTATCTATACGATTGGGGAGCAGAGCTGAACAGGCATCCCCAGAAGTTTCAAGATCCCAAGCTGTGAAAACCTTGCACCCTCAACCCCAAAAGCCCTAAAAACCAGAAAACACTGGATACTTACACGGTCTTTAAAAGATTCTATTGGGTCTCTTGTGGTTTAATCAGGCTCCTACAAGCTAACCAAAGTCCTTGTATTGCCGGTTCTGCGTAATGTTTCGGAACTCTGTCTTGCGGCGGGATTTCAGGTGATATACGGCAGAACCCAAGATAAGAATGACAAAAACCTAAGGAAACGCATAGATCGTGCATATAAATATATATATATATATATATATATATATATACATGTATATATATATATATATATATATAAAGGTGTGTGTGTGTGTATGAACATATATGTATACACATACATGTATATGTCTGTGTGTATGTGTACATACACATATTCGGTCGCACTTTGCGAATGCATCATCAATGACGACTAGCGATATTTAAAACAAACGATTGGCCCCACCACTCCAACGCGCCGTCCACCCCGCAGCGGACTGCTTCGCAGGTGCAGAAGATTACCCGAAAATCAAAAGCTGCATGCTATGCCTACGCCCGCACCGTGTCTGCAGAAAAGGACGCCGAAAACAAGAGCACCAGCATCTCCCGTATTCGCCACGCGCCGACAGGAACAACCTCATCTGACACTAAACCCGTCCAAGTGAAAGAGGCAACACTTCATCCGCACAGGCATTGTTCAGAAAACCCGCCTCGGTAAGGAGTCGTCTTCAAGAGCACAACACGAGGGCCCAGTTTGCTGCAGCTTTCTCGCACTTGCTAACTGCAGCAAGCGACAAAGAGCAATCGAGCTCGTACATACAACTGAACAATGATGGGGCAGTCAGCATGTCTGCCAGCATGACGGATGGTGGGCAACTGAGTCGCATCATGAACACCACTAGCCTTTGCCATACAACGAAAATTCTGCCGGAGATGTGAAGATCAAGCTCCAGCTGCCGTCACGGCACCTCGGCTTTGTGGAGACGCGCACTCCCTCGCCCAGTGTAGGCAGCGTAGCGACTGTTGAGTGGCCCAAGCAAAGCTTCAATATGGTTCACCACAGTTTGGGTGGCCAACTATCCGTCCACCGTGCAAAGCGATCTTGCGCTCAGCAAACGCAGTTCACTCCCTGTTGCAGTGTCCTCCCCATCTGTTGCAAGCTGCGAGCCGATCCGTCATATGCCAGATTCATGCCCAGTGAGAAGCCAACCCATGATCCAAAAACAGCCTAAGCCCACAAAGCCTTGGATATACACACAAACACATGCATGCATGCATGCATGCATGCATACATACATGCAAAAACACATTTGCAGCTATCTGATATTTGTTTATTTACATACATAGACAAACATATGTACGCATAGAGATGTATATGTATATATACATGTATGAACGTATGTATGCATGTATGTGGCCAGGTAGGCACCCAGGCACGTAGGTAGGTATGTATATACATAAACTGTTTATAGTCATGTGTGCGTTTTGCTAATTATCCCTTCTTCTTCGTCAGGCCTGCCTTGCCGATCCGCCCCATCCCACCCACAAGCCTTTCTCTTGAAACCTGTATTCTCTGCACCCGAAACACCCGAAGGCCCAGGAACGTAAACCACATCCAGGTTCCTCAATGATTGGAACCGGGTGCTGTGGTGTATTATGCTTTGCAAGGACTAACGGACTGCAACGGGACAACAGTATTGATTTACGTCAGAATATGAACACTTCAACAAAGCCCTGAACCCTCCAACCCCCAAACCCCACCAGCCCAAGCCTACAAGACCACCAGGCGCAACATACAAACAGAAAAACAAAGCCGTCAATCCTTTTACAACCGTGGAACCATGCCTCTCTGCCAGCTCCCCGCGCACGTCTGCGACGGCCAGTGCTTGTTCGATGGCCAGCAGCTCGCCGCTGATCAGTCGGAAAGTCGGGGCCATGTTGGGTGAAGCTGGTTCGACCCAAGTACAAGCACACGTTCATACTACACAAGAAAAGAACAAGAAAGACCCATAGTGCCCAGTGGCCCAGTGCTACTAGGGGATGAAGCTCTGCCGATAGAGTAGGGCTTCTCCCTTTCCGTAGGTTTTGCTAGATGCACCAACCGAGAGGCGAGTTTGGTGGCTGACGGTTAAAGCGAAGAAAGCCTTGAGAGTTCAAGGGCCGAGTGGAACAACTCGAAACCCTGGACCCCAAAACGGCGGCGGATCGGGGGTTGGACTCGTGCACTCGCACAAGGCAGGCACGGATCTGACTTTGTCTCCGCCGTTTAGGTTTTCGGGCATTTTCTTTACGGCTTAGAGTTTAGTGCTTGAAGCTGATCGTTTGGTGTGCCAAACGTACCTGTCGCAGGTTCGGCCTCGATGATTTGCCTAAAGGCTCAAGCCAGCTTGGAGGCAGGCTCGGTCGCCCGCCTGGGTGGGCTGGACCAGCACCTGCCTACATGCGTTCCAGAACGCGTTCTCGATCTTCTGTGTGCCTTTTCCTTGAAACTCCGCTCAGAGTCCCCCAGAGGTCCAGAGGCCCCCCAGAGTCCTGGGTGGTCTCATCGTGGATTCGGAACGTCATCCCCAAGCAAAAGGAACAGCCCCCCAACCCCCCCCCAAAAAAGCATTGGCTGAACCTTAAACCCCGAACCCTAAACCCATGGCCTTTCTCAGAAACCCAGATACCTCGGAACCCAAAAGCGCCCTCATAGCACCTTAATGGTGATCGCACCCCTGACAGCAACCCCTACTCCTTGAACCGAGGTAAGCACAGGCCAGACTCCTGTGTGCCCGAGTCGTCGGACCTTCTCACTGCTCGTGGCTTCAAAGAATCGAAGCCGAAGGCTTTTGGGATCTTTTGGGTTCAGGATTTCAGGTTTCGGGCTTCGGTGGCATATGCTTCGACGTCTGCTGGGTTTGTGATACATGCTACTGAGAGCCTTTGGAGTTTTTGGTGTTAGGGGTTTGGGTTTCAAAGTTGCAGTAAAATCCTCTACCACTAGTATGTGGTTCGGCGCTCACACTCGGACATGCAACGAGGGCTTTGGAGACATCTGGTTTAGGCTTTTGCTGGATAGGGAGGGCTGTATTTCATTAGTCCTTTGCCACCCGCAAGCATTGTGACGTAGACTGCCCAGACCCTTACTTACACCCCGAAGATGGAATCCAAACGTTTCTGTAAGCCCCTTTTGCAGCAGGCTCTCTTCTGTACGCCCGCAAACCCGCAGCTGGCCCTAAACCCAAACGGACCCAAACCCTAACCCTGAATCCGACACTCTGAACCTTGAACCCCAACCCTCAACCCTAGACCCTGAACCCTAAACCCTAACCCTGAACCCGAAGCTCTAAAGGTCCTCGCGCAAGGCTGGGCAGCCGGCATGGCGCTGACCTCCGCCGGCCTCAGCAGTCCGCAGACATCCAGACCCTCTGGGTGTCCAGAGAGCCCAATACCCTAAAACGAGGGAGGAAGGAAAGAATTACGCCTTAGACTCTAAGACGGAATTTGATCTTCACTTCTGGAATCCTGTTCTATCCTTTGTGTACTCTTGGGGTTGAAGGGTTGCGAGCTTTAGGGAGTGAGAAAGTATATGCATTGCCTGTACACTCCCCGAAGTATTTTGAAGACAACGTTGACAATCACCCATCACCAAAATGCGATTACTTGGCCGTTTCTCGACCTCACCGACTGCCTGTAACTAAGTCAAACACAACACACCTGACGACACAGATGATGTTACTATGGCTGTTGCTGCTTTTGTTGTTGCTGCTGCTGCTGTTGCTGTTGTTGCTGCTGTTGCTGCTGTTGCTGCTGTTGCTGCTGTTGCTGCTGTTGCTGTTGCTGCTGTTGCTGCTGTTGCTGCTGTTGCTGCTGTTGCTGCTGTTGCTGCTGTTGCTGCTGCTGCTGCTGCTGCTGCTGCTGCGGCTGCGACGACCACCTCGACAGCTATCTGCTTCACCGTGCTTCTGCGAGCATGAAAGCAGTTATCAGGAGAATCCAATAAGGCCATTAGTAGCACAGCAATCACGGTAAGAGCTGCTAGATTTGCACAAAGGAAAACACGATCAACAGCTGGGGCAACGGAAAAGCCAGCGAGACATATGAAACATTAGCAACGCTGATACGAAGAGTAACAAGAGCGATACTATCTATTGAAACTGTCAGCCCCAAATCCCACCCCAACTGCCACTGCCACTCCTGCTGTCATAAAATCTACCGTTGCCAGTAGTCAGTATTCGTGTCATCACAACATCATGCTGCTCAACCCTTCACCAGTGACGGAGCCAGCACCCTCCCAGCAACTACAAGACTTTTTGCAAAGTCTGGTCGGCTTGTCGTTTGCATTAGCACGGCACATTTTCCTCACCGGTGTTCGGTGTGAAGCTATGCCCGTCGTCCATCACTTTGGGGGACGTGACGTAACCCAAAAGCCGTAAGTGTACGACATCTGCAAGCTCAGCTTGCCAAGTAGGGTTGAAGGCCCTGTTGCTTAAGTTCTTCGATGAGGGCTAGGAGGTCCAGCGCGCTGCTCTTCAGACGTGCCCTCTCGGTCGGTAAAGAGAGTCATTATCGAAGCAAGCCTGCGCGGCAAGGGGAATCAGAGGGATCTCTCAGGACTCCTCCACATGTCGACACCACGGGGACCGGACATCTTGAATTGGTGCCTGCAAAATCCAAGGTCAACCCTCCACCGATGGCATCCTACTGCTTAAAATGTTGGCACGATAGAACTACAGACCTCCGCCCAGAGAACAAACAACAACCAGCGAGTCGCAATCGCAAACACCCAAAACAACGATGGAAAAAAGAAGCAGCAGCAACAACGACAACAACAGCAAAAAGGAGGCGCACTGCGTACCCCCCTCTGCAACAACAAAACAACAACAATTTGCCAGCGTTGTCTCTATTTTTCTGCCATATAACTGCTACTATTATTACGAGTCCGAGTCCGATCTCTACTGGCAGCACCGTCACTTCTACTCGTCCTACTACTCTTACTAGTTCAACCTCGACTATTGCCAGTGTAATTTTTACGACTATTACAAGTCCGATCTTTACTTCTCTACTAGTCCAACAACAACAACCAACCAACAAACAACAACCAACCAACAACAACCAACCAACAACAACCAACCAACCAACAACAACCAACCAACAACAACCAACCAACAACAACCAACCAACAACAACCAACCAACAACAACCAACCGACAACAACCAACCGACAACAACCAACCGACAACAACCAACCGACAACAACCAACCGACAACAACCAACCAACAACAACCAACCAACAACAACCAACCAACAACAATCAACCAACAACAACCAAGCAACAACAACCAAGCAACAACAACAACAACAACAACAACAACCAACCGACAACAACCAACCGACAACAACAACAACAACAACAACAACAACAACAACAACAACAACAACAAACAACAACAACAACAACAACAACAACAACAACAACAACAACAACAACAACAACAACACACAACAACAACAACAACAGCAGCACAGCAGCAGCAGCAGCAGCAGCAGCAGCAGCAGCAGCAGCAGCAGCAGCAGCAGCAGCAGCAGCAGCAGCAGCAGCAGCAGCAGCAGCAGCAGCAGCAGCAGCAGGCAGCAGCAGCAGGCAGCAGCAGCAGCAGCAGCAGCAGCAGCAGCAGCAGCAGCAGCAGCAGCAGCAGCAGCAGCAGCAGCAGCAGCAGCAGCAGCAGCAGCAGCAGCAGCAGCAGCAGCAGCAGCAGCAGCAGCAGCAGCAGCAGCAGCACGACCACCACACCGCAACCACGCACCACGACGACCACCACAACCGCAACCACGACCACAACCACCACCACAACCACCACAACCACCACAACCACCACAACCACCACAACCACCACAACCACCACAACCACCACAACCACCACAACCACCACAACCACCACAACCACCACAACCACCACAACCACCACAACCACCACAACCACCACAACCACCTCAACCACCACAACCACCACAACCACCACAACCACCACAACCACCACAACCACCACAACCACCACAACCACAACCACCACAACCACCACAACCACCAAAACCACCAAAACCACCAAAACCACCACCACAACCACCACAACCACCACAACCACCACAACCACCACAACCACCACAACCACCACAACCACAACCACCACAACCACCACAACCACCAAAACCACCAAAACCACCAAAACCACAACCACAACACAGCAACGCCCACCACAGCCACCACACCCACAACCGCGACCACCACAACCACCAAAACCACCAAAACCACAACCACAACACAGCAACGCCCACCACAGCCACCACACCCACAACCGCGACCACCACAACCACCACAACCACCACAACCACCACAACCACCACAACCACCACAACCACCACAACACCACAACGACCACCACAGCTACCACAACCACAACTACCACCACAACCAATCACCACCACCATCACCACCACGACGATGACAATCGCTCACCGTCCAAGAAAGGTACGACGACGACAGCAGCAACTATTACAACCACCGCGACGACCACCACGACAGTGGAAGAAGAGGAAAGAAACAGGTGAAACATCCAGCAAAAGACCGCATCAAGCTCAATGCAACTCCGAACCCCCTAAGTAAGGAAAACGCCTGATTCCTAAGACCCTACACTTCAATCTGCGAGCCAAAAGCCGGATCATCCTAAACCCCCATTAGTGCCCTTCCGGTCGCCCTTACGAGGCCAGTCCCCTTTCTAAATAAAAGCCGCCCGAAACCCTCAAAAAAACCCAGATCATCTCCCTCGCCCCCCCGGCCCCCCCTTTCCGGGAGCCTCCACGCCGAAAGCGCCCAGGGCCCGGCCCACGCCGGTGCTTCGGGTCTTCCGCACCGGGGCCGCGGGCTCCAGGGAGCTCCTCAAGGGTAAAAGGAGGGACCCTTGATAAGGACCTCTAGGTATATACCCTTCATATAGCTAGTATATACCCATTATATAGCCCATTATAGGACAGGGATCCCCATTAAGGGTCCCTCCTTTTTCCTTTGACTTAAAGGATCCTTGGGGTACTTTTGGGGTTCCGTAAGAGGGTCGCCTTTCAGGGCTCCTCTTGATACTACTTGTACCAGGGTTTCTGCCAAGGGGCCACGACTACCGTATGGGTTTCTATAAGTGGCTAGGAAACGGATTCAGAGTTTGGGGGTGGTTTAGGGTTTTGGGGGCTTTGGTGCTTTTGCTTTTGTGGTTTCGGAAGCTCCCTGAATGCATCGCGAGGTAGGGCTTTAGGGTTTGAGGTTCAGCGTAGGGACCACCCCTAGTCCGTGTAGAAGCTATAAGATGCTTGCTCCTTGTGCTTGTCTCGACTTCTTGTGCTCTTAGCTCTTGCCGCCAAGATTCACTACCTTCTCCTTCTCCTCGAGAGTTGCCGCGCGGAGGGCAGACGCCCTGAGGCGGGCCTTCTCTTGGAGAAGGCCGTGGCACTTCGCGATAGTCTGCCTCGTTCGGGGCTGGGAGCTTGGGATTTGGGGTTTGGGGGACGGTGTGGCCGGTCGGCTTGAGGTTTCGGCTTCCGTCGAGTTCCAGTGAGATCACATCAATCGGTCATTTTGTCAAGAGATCCGAAACTCAGTCGTCACTCTGCAAACAGGTAGGCAAAGCCGCCTCGATGGCTCGCGGATAGATCCGAGAACCACGACTAAGTCGGTTTATCGTCTCGCGACATGTGTGCTCAGACCGCTGGCACTGATAAAGCAGGTCTCAGGATCACGATATCAATAAACCGCACAGCAGTCGAACAAAACTATGCAAACGGGACATGCCCAAGTGAATTCGCATGCCCCGGAGCTGAACAATATGTTTCACAGGACTTCAGCTCAAATCCGGCATGGGCGAGAGAGAGGTGAGGGCGGATTCTCAATCAACATCCATTGACTTACTTTGACCCAGAATACTCCCAGAATTTAATCTTCCTGTCACTGTTTCTTGCCTCGCTTGAGAATCCGCAGAAAGCACTGGCCAACTGATGTTGGCAAAAAGCGTCCATGCTTCACGAATTCCAGAACACCTCCAGCTGGGACAACTAGGTTGCTGTTCCAAGTGGAGTTGCGCTAATTAGCCCCTGAGCCAAACGATTTAGCAGCTTTCTTCCTGAGAGCTCCAACACGAAGATCTAATGCGCATATAATGTGCACAACACAAGCCATCATGAGGTGTATCTATCCACCTCGTCCTCATGCAAACCAATGTATTGCCTCATATTACCTGAACCTTCGAACCTAAGCACGAAACCCCAAATCTTAATCCACTAACACAACCCGTAATGCAACCCATAAGATAATCAAAAAGACCTTTGGTCAAACCCTCAACACCCCATAAGAAATG